CAGTGCCCCCCCTGTGTCCCCAGTGCCCCCCCGTGTCCCCAATGTCCCCCCGTGTCCCCTGGGACCCCCCCGTGTCCCCAATGTCCCCCTGTGTCCCCTGGGACCCCCCCATATTGTCCCTGAGTCCCCCCCGCAGGAGGAGGCGCAGCGGGACAAGACCAACGTCGTGAAAAGCACGGATTGTCCTGGTAAATCCTGGGGCTTCGGGGGGCTCTGGGGGGCCCCGGGGGTCGTCACTGACCCTCCTGCCCCCTCCCCAGAATTCCGGGCACGGTTCCGGCTGCGGCTGCTCCGGGGGCACCGGGGGCTGCGCAGGCTCCTGAGCTCCCGCGGGATCAAGTTCGAGGTGACCCAGAAAGGGTAGGGGGGGAAATCTGGGGAGAGGGAGGAGGGGAAATGGGAAACCTCAGGGGAAACCCTGCAGGGGACACGGGAAATGGAGGGGAAATGACATGGAAAACGTGGAAGATGCAGAGAATAGGAAAAGTGGCATAGGAAACGCGGAAAGTACAGAACACAGGCAGAGGAATTGTGAAAAATACAATGGGAAATACAGAAAATACGGAAAATAACACAGAAAACACGTAAAATAGCACAGGAAAGAGAAAATACAGAGAGAAGTGCATAGGAAACACGGACCACGAGCTGGAAAATCCAGATGTATCCGGGCAAAGAGGTGCCAGAGGGGGTGAAAGGCGACTCTGGAGTGCTGCAATTCCCCATTTCTTGGGGATGCCCATGGGGCCGGGTCTCACAGCCCCGCTGCCGCCGGGATCGCGGCTGGATCCAGCCGATCCCGACGATCCCTGATCCGCAGGGGGCTGTTCCGGCCGGAGCGGGCTCTGGGCTCGGCGCAGCTGCGGCTCGAGGGGCTGGAAGGGTCCTGCGAGCTCCGGGAGCAGCTGGAGGTGAGCGGGGTGCCCTTCCCTCTTCCCTGGCGTTCCCAATCCCGAGTGCTCCCCGGCACATTCCCAACCCCATTCCCAGCCCCATTCCCAGCCCCATTCCCAGCCCCATTCCCAACCCCATTCCCAACCCCATTCCCAGCCCCATTCCCAGTCCCCAGCCCCATTCCCAGTCCCATTCCCATTCCCAACCCCATTCCCAGCCCCATTCCCAGTCCCCAGCCCCATTCCCAGCCCCATTCCCAGCCCCATTCCCAACCCCATTCCCATTCCCAACCCCATTCCCATTCCCAACCCCATTCCCAGCCGCATTCCCAGCCCCAGTCCCAACCCCATTCCCAGCCCCAGCCCCATCCTCATTCCCAGCCCCATTCCCAGCCCCATTCCCATCCCCATTCCCAGCCCCATTCCCAGCCCCATTCCCAGCCCCATTCCCAGCCCCATTCCCATCCTCATTCCCAGTCCCATTCCCAGCCCCATTCCCATCCTCATTCCCAGCCCCGTTCCCAGCCCCATTCCCAGCCCCATTCCCGAGCTCATCCTCCCGGTGCCCGCCGTGTCCGGTGTCCGCAGCTGCTGGACGGGCGGCGCCGCACGGGCGGGCGGCTGG